ACTGTAATATATAAGAACATAAAACTACAGTACTACACTGTACAATCAGCAACAATTATATTATTATATAAGCAAGGTATACTTTGAAAATAAAACAGACATTGAGAATTTGTAACCATAATGTACAAAACTACATCAGACAAAAATGGGTAATAAGTTCAGTTATTAAACAGGTAAGTCATTAAACGAGGAATATCTGTATCGTAATCTATTCAAACATACGTGGTAGGAAAACTTGCCAATTTTCTAACACCTTTTAATAATTTACTGCGAATTAGTGTAGTCAGACACTCTGAAAAGATTTCTCAGCAGTTGAGTTTTGATGAAGGAGAAGGTATGAAGGTATTAGGGATCAGCTGTGAATATAACTTCACTAAAAATAATTTTGAGCAGCTAAAACGAAACAGCAGCACAGGGTGAATCAGGCAAGGATAAAAGAGATAAGCATTAATGGTGATTCAGTGTGCTTCATGTGAATTAGTCTAAAGTCGATATTGAAACCTTTAATATCATGAGTAATCTGATCTTCAAGTGCAAAAGGCTTCATGAAACGTGCGTAAGAGTTTTCTATAATAATATAGAAAAAATACAGTTCTCAAATAAATAGCCAAAATTTTAGTCTCAACATTATTACACATACTCTGGCAATTTTTAATTTTAAGGTAACTGAATATTTCAGATGCCTAATAGAGGCTCGTTTATAACATTTTGGGTTGAGAAATTAACAAGAAACATCTGTGAGAGAGTCTACTTGCTTAATGCATAAATGTATAATGCTATGTGTAGATTATCTTTTAGGTAGTGTTGAAGAGTTTTTGCTTTCTTGTGAGAGTGCTTTAAATTTTTAAAGATTTACTTGATTTTAGCATCTACAAATACACACAAACTGCATAAATGATTTACACACTAGGTTACTGGAGCAAGTAGAACACAAAGAAGTTTTAGTTCACTGTCACAAGAACACAAAGAAATTGAGCCAGCTCTAAAAAATCAGTTCATAGCCTAGGAAATGGTTTTCCTAAAATTGAAAAAATGTCCCAAAGCAACAATATTGTATTTCTTAAGCTATTGGTGTTACTGACATAAAAAGAATTCTTTCTATAATTCTTCCTTGGCCTTGGTTGATGACAAAGTGATTACTAGAAAAAATGGTAAATAACTGCTTTATATAACCCTGCAGGCAATGAAAAAATAAAAGACTCACTTACTTGAGTGGCACTTGTTTAAATTATTAATGGGTTCAAAATCATAAGACTCAGTATATAAATCAAAATAATATATGTTCTTCAGCCAGCACAGAAGTGCACTGTAGCTTCATTAGTAATACTAGCAATAAATAATCTAGATAAAATTTTGTTTCAGCGGTTAAAAATGGAAAGTGGTACAGCAAACAGAACGGCAGTAGGATACTCAATTATTATATATCTCTTTGATCATTTGTGGTCCAGTCTCCCTGCCAGTAACGTAGAGAAGTACCATAAATCTGCAGTCACCAAACTGTAGTACCACTGATGCTATCAGTCCATGGTGTGTTAGGAATGGGGTCACAGAGCAGCAGGTGAGGCGTGGGCAGTGAGGTAACATTCGTCTTTACCTATCGGTGCCAAATTCTGCACATTCCCATCAGGCTGAGCTCCTGTCAGAGCAGAGGCAGGAGCCTTAGGTTTACATATGAGCCAGAACCCTACCGTGGATTGCACACATGAAGGATCTGGGTTCCTGCTCCTGATAAGAGTCTGATCGTTAAACCATCACTACCACCACCACCACCACCACCACCACCACCACCACCATTGTTTCTCGAACCCCATCCCCGCACTGATGTCCATAGAAAAAATGTCTCCATGAAATTGATCCCTGGCACCAAAAAATTTCAGGTAAAAATGGTATTAAATGTTCTTTCTAGTTACAACATTCAAAGATATCATGTATGTAAGTGTGATAGGACTTTTAAATGGACATTTTTATGTAAATAAGTAATACTGAGTAGGTAAATACTGCAAAGGTATTTTGTCACATTTTCTCCCTCAAACTGCAGATGAGGAGGAACTGTAATAACACATTCCTTCAGTGCACTTATTGTCTGATTAACATGTCACTATGTAATTATGTGCAAAGGTATTCAGATATTTCTCATCGTGAGTGCCGAACAATGAGATTGAAATAACAGACTTTCCTCTTGGCTTGTCTTTAACCATTGCATCAATTTAAACATGAGGTTCAGCACTTTCTAGACAGCAATGGCTATTTGTTCCATTGTGCTGAATGATTCAAATTTGAACAAAAGAGATAAATAATTTAAAAATATATAAGCTTGAAATTGTCAAATTAATCACCACTTTCTGCGCAACTATTTAATACCTGATTCAAGTAAGAATTTATGATGTGATTATTAAGAGAAAATCATAAATACCTTCAAGAAGAATGGATGGATACCAGACAGAGCACATTACAGACCTGCAGAAGCTCACATAACTAAGTAGAACGGTGGGTTTTGTTTTGAGAGCTTTCTTCCTAAATAAAGTATGTCTTTTAAAGCATCAAATATGGTAGTCATTCATCACAAAGAACACCACTCAGCAGGCAAGGATTTTCAAACCTTAAAAATATTTTTTTTCCAATGGAATAGATATTTGCACTGAAGAGATAAAAATGGTTTTATCATTTTGAATCCAGCCACAGGGTCTTCTTTCTTTTGTGGAGCGTATGTAGAATTGCTTTAACTGGTGAAAAAAAGACTTTTCATTGAAAAGTTTTAATTTTGGGGGGCTTAAATCCAGCAAAACTCTGATCTATTAATTCTTATAAAAGGTACCATTATAAAATATATCAATAAACTGTGGTAATGAAGCATTGAATCTTGCACTTAACAAATGATCCTTCTTCATTTCATCTACTATATATATATATGTGTGTGTGTGTGGTAAACATTTTATTACTGCTGCTTGAAGATAAATCAGGCAAGTATATTTTGGTTTGAACAAATTCTATCACCTTGGTTTACTAAAGAGGTTGACTGTAAAATATTCTCATTTAAGTTATACTGTTTGCTTTTTATCTGATGTCCAGAGGTTTCCATGTTTCACCTAGAATTTACTAAAACTTCGGGAGGCTGAGACAGGAGGATCGTTGAGAGTTCGAGACCAGCCTGGGCTGCAAAGTAAGCCCAGTGCCAGCCTGAACTGCATAGAGAGACCCTGTCTCAAAAAGAAATAAAAGAATATACTAGAACTTAAAATAAATATTCTGCCTATAATCATCATGTTGGAACAGAACACAAAGCAAATACAACTGAGAGAATCTGAATTAGTTTCACTAATTGAATGTTGCAATTATCTAAAGTTTAATTATGAACCACACAAAATTTAGCATTAATAGTCATTATGTTCCTCAGGTGGGTATCAGGAGTGGAAGAAGAAATATAGTATCTGCAAAAGAATAATATTAGAAGAACTTATAATCCAGTTAAAATGAGTATCATATTTAAAAAGGTAAGAGATTGAGCCTCAAAAATTGTATTCTAAAATGTATTTCAATAATGTTTCCTTCTTTTTACTCTCTAGATATTTATAGGTCTTATACATTATTTATAATATCATAAATAAACTTCCTTATACTTATTCTGATTCTAGCATATTTCCATAAAACAGGGGAAATCAGTTTATAGAGTAGACGGTTGTAAATTCTTGATACAAGCATTACCATCATTATCTTCATGAATGTTTTTGTTGGCTTAGTGTCTGAGTCTTGTATGCTAACTTCCTCAGTTTTGATGCAATAACTGTATGTAGCTGGTGATTTTCCTGTCAGAAAGCTTTTCTATAGACCGATAATGATGATGATATTCTCCATCACTGGAGAAATTTTATAAGGACTTTTAATTGATCACAAATAATAAAGAAAATCCTACGATTCCACAAGAATATCTGAATAGAAAATATATTAAGGAGTGAGGCAAGAGAAACAAAATTCTTGCTAAATAAGTTTTTAAAGTGTTTTTAAAATTGTATACTAATTTGTTTGCTAATAATTTGTATGATAATTTGTTAGCATCTATTTGATATTACTGTTTTTGAACATACATATATACTTGACAGTGTCAAGTATTTGTATAGATTTAAATATTGATGCACATGTCTCCCCTGAAAATAGGGAAATTGAGCCTCAGAAATTGCACCAACTACCTAAGGTCACAGAGATAATAAATGACTACTGTCATTAGAATTTTCTCGTGCTAGACTCTGGATTATTCTCTTTAGTTTCAAAGTACATGACTTAGTAGAGAAGTAGAAAGATTTGTTTTCATAAGTTAAAATCCTTAAGTATGTAGTAATAAATCTAACTGCAGATAAGAGAGACAAATCTACTATTTATGCTGTATCTAATTTTAGCAATTAGTAAACTTTGCTTATTTCAATCAGTTTAATAGTGTCTATTATTAATCTCTAAGCATTCATTATTTATTAGCTGGAGCAAAATATTAACGCCCAGTTTGCTTTTTTCCCGTTTCTTAAAATACAAGGAAGTGAGGTGAAATTTGACTCCAACATTATATACACTGTAATAAAAATAATTTAAATAGGTTAGCTTTTTAGCTTTTTTCACTTTGAGTTTCATTTGCCACTGCTTATTTTAGAATTGATGAAAACATTTTAAATCAGATTATACTCGAGTGTATGATACACCAAATGCATTAAATATCTTTTTACTTATAATTAGCTTTAATAAAATATCATTTAAAACAGAGAAATAAAAAAGTGGCAATTGTAAAATGATAATGCATTTGCAATTCAATTGTTAAGCTTTACAAAAATTGTATTTGATTTAATGTTTTTCAAGAAAAGCATGTTTTGAACAATTTATAACTTTAAAACCTAATCTCTAATTCACTTTCTTTTTTTCCTTTTGAATATCAAAGTACACATAGAAATTTATATTTCCATAATGTTTAGTAAATCATATGAACATTATACATGAATTATGAATAAAAATTTATTTACCTGCATGGAAATCTATTCCCACAGCGAATGAAGTTCCTGATATAGGCATCAAAGCATCCATTTTGTCACTTGGTTCAAGAGGTATTCCCCTGATTCCTTCATGAACAGAGTACATAAGAAATGACTCTATACCTAAAGATGGGAGTTGGAATCCAAAACAAATTTTAAAATCAAAAAGAATTAGTTACTATTAATTTTAGCAATCTTAATACAAATTACTAAATGTCCTTAAAAATGTTTGAACTCACAATATACTCCCATATTTGTGGCAAGGTAGGTAATTCATGGTTCTGAAACTTCATAAAACATCATAATTTCCTAGATGAGTTTTTAAAACATATTGTTTAGCCCCATATCAGGTGTTCAGTAATTTAAAATTCTGTGAAGTTTGTAGTTGAGGATGATGCTACTTGTATGTGAACATCACTTTCATAAGCAATTTGGTAGATAATTTCTGGAAGACTTGGCCTCCCAATCAAAATTAATTCTCTCATCTGAATTCAAGAATCTCTTTGCTTCTATATGATAATAAACTTTGCTTTTAGGTAGCTATATTAGTGTTATTATTCTAGTATACATTTGAATTTCTTAAAGAATATTAAGCTTCTAAAATCCTTTGAAGAATAAAAATGCACCAACAATAAAATTGGTTAATTTTTCCTACATTATTTTACTTCTCAGCATCAAAAACTGGTTCTAAAATAAACAGGTAAAGATACCCTTACTACAAGAAGTCCATGTGATAATGCTTATTAATATTACTAATATATTAGAAAATAGGTCTATAAAATGTTTATAATGTGAACATATTCTTAGTAAGATCAACATGCCTACTTTAATTATTTCTGTCACTTCTAGTCATATGACTTAGATATAATTTCTCCTAGCCCGCATCTTATCTATAAAATGAGACCTATCTCATAAGATTATGGGTAATACCAGAATCAACACTTACAAGTTAATTAGAACAATGCCTAACACATAATAAATGTCTTATAAATATTTCCTTTAAACTAAAATAAGTAACAACGACATCCAAATTAAGCTCTGATTATGAGACAACAAAACATTCCTGGACCAAAGTTCTTTGGGACTATTAGAGTTAAGGACAATGAAATAAGAAAAACACAGCTAAACTGCATCAGTTGTGATTCTTTCCCTGAAATATTCTTCTCTTTTAGTTATGCACATCTTAAATCTGCATCTGTCTGGTGCTCTCTATAAAACAGTTGAAAGAAAACAAACATAACCAAACTCAAATTGTGCATTTATCCCACCCTATCAATCATAGCTTTTTATTTCAAATTTTGCCTCCTTAAGTTGAGCAAATTATTACACGTGATTCAACTTTGATAATAAACTCAAGCTACTGAAATTAATTAAATTTAGGAAATAATATTAAGAAAAAATGATATTTCAAATATCTTCCATCCATTAAGATTCAAATTATGTAAAACTATGTATAGTTTGGTATATGGTATGTGTATACCATTATCTAAGAAGGAATGATTTTTTTCTAATTTTAACTGACTTGGGGTGTGTAAAATCTTCATGGCAGGTGATGGATGAAGTAAATGTCAAAGGTTTTCATGAACTTTTACCTTGGCAGGACATGCGGTTCTTTTGGAGATAATACCCCACTGTACACATGCAAGTTCTTGTATTTTCAGATGTTGGTAAACAAAGCTGAGAGCATCCACCATTATTTAGGTGACAAGAATTACTGCCTGCAAAGAACAAAAACGAAACAAGTTTTTAAAAGAAGTGAAAATTTAAAAAATAATTTTATCTAAAAAAGCAAAAATGTTTACTATTAATTTCTAAATGTAACTGTTTCATATTGCTTGTAATCACATTCTGTACTCTCAAATAGGTTAAAGCACAGTTGAATAGTGTCCTTCAAAAAAAAAGAAACAGAAGCATTTTTAATTACAGAAATTATAAAAAAATTTATTTGTCCTGAGGACAGACATAGAACTTCACAAATACTTTAAAATCACAGAAATCAGAAAACCTTTTGGTTCTTAAATTTTATTGTGTCACTATAGTTAGTTGTTTGGCAAGAATATTTTATTCAAACATATAAATAGTTAAATTATATTACTAACTCAACTCAAAGACTTTGTCATTAAAGCAAAAGAAATATATATATATATATATTTATTTATATTTTAAATGAAGGAAATATATTTTTGCACTCCTAGAAACATAATTTTCCCACAATATATGAGAAACAATCTCATGGGGGACATCTAATTAATTGCTATATTAATAAGAAATTTCCTTATTTCTGTATAGTAGCAAATGACAAATATTAATCAGTAAATCACAAGTAATATTCTGGCAAAACACTTCAGTGAATTTACTAGCCCCAATGTGCTAATTACAGCTGGTAACATGAAGTTATTTACAATCTTAAGCAGCAAGTTCATTAAACATATCATTTTTACATGTTTATTATTCTAGGATGTGTAGTGCCATTTGTTCAAACTCTGACAGGAATCACTGTAACCTCGGAGAGAATTAAAAGCCAGGAGAATTAAACAGTTTGATAAAAGATGCATATTGATACTACTCCACAGAAAACTCAAAGTACCAACACAGTTCTCACTAAAGGTAGTCTGGTGGGATTTAATTGCTCAATGGATCTTGTCATGAACTATTATTTTTGAAATGTGAAATATGCTTAATTTGGGAAGTTTCTCATCAGGAGATTTACTACATTCTCTGTTCATCTCCAAAACCTACTGTTTAGTCGATGTTGAATTCCATCTTAGGTAAATTACATACATTGTTTAAATGATAATGTTTATCTTCCATATAAACTAATAAAGAATAATTGATTAATTCTCAATTTCCCAAATTGATTGAGATAGAATTCCAAACCCCTCATATTTCTAATAGAGAGATAATTTTATTGTAATTTTGCGATAGAATCACATAGATATTTCATGGTTAGAAAACAGTATATATTCACACAAATATATAGATGCATGTTTAGATACAAGGTTTGCTTTAATCACTACTAAAAGTGCAAAGGCTGGAAAAAAATTCACTGATGATGATAACAATATCGTTTGATGGAGCATCACGTGGAGAGGAATTTTAGTGGAACTAAAGAAGTAAAGAAAAAGAGGTTAGAGAGAGAAAAAATTTATAAATATAAGAAAAAATGAGGTGGTTTATAGCCTTGGTAATCACAAAAGTATGTGAACAAAGAAGGAAAAGGAACTTCTGAGCTGGCACAATTTTAATACAATTTCAAAAATAGCAATGGATAGTAATTTGTTGACAAATAATAATTTTGACATATTTTAATAATTATATTTTATGCTAACAATACACGTTTCACATACAGTATCTGTAGAGAAGTGAACAATGGAGAAAAATAAAAAGTATTATACACGTACATGTATTTTATAATATATACCTTTTCCTATTAAATATGAATGAAAATAGGAAAATATTACAGTGTACTTTAAACTTATAATTGACATAGTGATTATCAAGTTAGTACTATGATTAATATTTTATAATGATATTGATACTCCCACTTCATGCCCCTAGTGACTACAGATGCCGGAAAGTTGATTTAACTAACAAGGAGTTTCAACTCTCCAGTGATCTGTGTCAAAATGATTAATGAAGAAACTAATAGTACTTTGAAATCCAAAGAGGTAGTAATGCTAGCACCTCAAAGAGTCCTGAATTGCTCATATTTCATTGCTAATGAAGCTTTTAAATCACCTGTAGTGATTCTGTTAATGGGACTGTTTATAATGCAGATGGGGCTATCATTAGGTACCTCTGTTAAAACATAATATTTTCATCAAATCTTAAAGTTACTTGTATCCAGGAATGGTGGCTCATACCTGTAAGACCTGCATTTGAGAGGCTGAGGCAGGTGAATAGCCATGATTTCAAGGCCAACCTGGACTACACAGTGAGTTTAAGGCCAGTCTGAATTACCTGGTGAGATGCTGCCTCAAGTCCTCCCCTCCAACATAAAAATTAGTTGTATTACTCCACTGACCTCTACATGGGAGAGGCCCTCATCAGTTTGACAGTAACTTCATACTGCATGAACAACCCAACTATATCAATAGAATCAAATCTTTAAGATAATGGAAATTGTATCAACAAGAACAAAGTGAGTCTAGAATAATACAATAAACACTCCTTTCCAGAACTTTATTATAAGTATAATTTTTATTTTGAAGTAAAATGTATGCTTTTTAACTTTTGGAAAGAGTGGTATAGAATTTTAATATTCATATTGGGGAGTGAAACTGCCAACTTGGTTCATGTCTGAAACACTGAGTTTGTGTTCTCTAAAACAGAATGAATTATAGGAAAAAAGAAGGTTAAGAATAGGAGAATGCAGTGAGAGAAAGCAAGTTTCTGTCTCAGAGGGACAGAAGGGGGTTCAGAAAGTGAGTTGCACACCAATCCTGCTTCTCAAAGGTGCTTACTGAACCGAGCCATAAGGTGAGGCAGGCTTAAGGTGGGAAAGACTATAATCAGTCAATAAGATTACAGTCACTTAGGCAATATTGATACAATGGCAAGTCATAGGAAGGTGTGAGGTGGTACAAAACTATGGTCAACCAATAAGTATGCAAGTATAGCCAGTAGGGTGACATTGATTTAACGAGGATCAAATAGAAAAGCAAGTCACATAGCAAGCACACATCAGACAAGGGCTTCCCTGGAAGGGGTGGGTTAAGATTTGGTCCTCTACCCCAAGGTGATTGATGCCTACTCAGACAGAATACAATCACTGCTGTTCATCCCTAGAGGAAGTTCATGGGTGAGTAGTTCTTTTTCTTGAAGTCTGATCTTCAGCGAATATGGCCTAGCCACAGCTGTCTTCTGCATTAACCTCTGGAGGGCCCAGCCCTGTCTGACTGCCTAAAATAGATCTATCTAACTTAAAATCTATAATAATAACTTATTTGAATTTGGAGTGTGGGTGTCGTGACACACACCTGTAATCCCAGCTCTTGGAGGCTGAGGCAGGAATAGTGTGAGTTCCAGGCTAGGTTGGACTTCAAAGTTATTTGAAGGCCAGCCTGAACTGCATAGGAATCCTGTCTATAGAAGGAAAAAAAATGGAAATTCACATTTATTCAATCTTTCTCTTTGCCTCTCTCTACCTCTCTTCTTTCATCTCTTCTGTGTTACAGTATCTTATGTTGTATTTTATGTACAATCTCAGACTATGTAGACAATGCCCTGCTTTATAACAGTGCTATCATTTTACACTTCATTCTATTAAAAGTTTATAAATATGTTGTAGTGTATTTTATTTACCAATTATCAATACTTTATTCTTAATTATACAACCTATTCCTAATACACAGGATGCCAGTAATATTTATTTATTTGCTTACCTACTTATTTCCATGCTGAAAAATTGTGCCCAGGATTTTATATAGGCTAACGGAGCATACTACTACTGATCTACTCTTCCAGAACAAATTATGTGTTTCAATACAGAAAATGTTCCATTACTGAACAGGTAATGAAAATACCCCTGTTCATTATAGATAATGATTTCTAAAAAGCCATAAAAAGAATACATTTGAACATAAGAATTTGGGCATTAATGCACTCTTAATAATAAAAGCAGCCCTAGAATCATTTCAATTTTATTTTTAAAACACTTGTTTTCTCTTAAAGTAATACTTTTTCCTCTGGTATCTGCATGTAAAACTTCCAGATCAAAGTTTGTGCAATGCTATCTCTTGTTGCACTCACAGACTCTCAATTGCTATTGCCCCTAAGCTGTGACTACTGGATGGCTGGCCCCTATCTGCAGAAAGTGATCCCCTTGGTTCTTGATTCTACATCCTACTCTTATCTGCCTTGTCTGCATGGCCAAAATCCATCAGAGTAAATTTCTTTCTTATTATGCAATTTTTTTCTGAAAAAAATTTCCAAGGAGGAAAAGTATGTGAAGCTAGACTCACATAGTAAAGATTAAAATAAATAAGTAGAATACAGAAAAGGCTTTATGTTTTCTGGAAAAGTTCTTTTAATGTTATGGACCATGAAGCAGAAACTAAGCAAGGACCTGCAGGTATGGGACTGCGCTGCTGGCATCTGTAATCCATTTGCCACTGGGCAGTGTGACAAGTCTACCTATGTTAACCATCTGTTAGTGCTTGCACTCAGTTTCACTCACAGCCTTTGGGCTAGCAAAAACAAAAATAAAAATGCTTAGAGCCAGACAATGTATCTTTGAATGTGAAATTTTTTATGTTGATATCATTCATGTGTCATAGTTCATTCTGTTCAGGGCTTAATTACATGTTGCATAAACCTGGCAGGAACATATTCTCTTATTCTTATATTTTCTAAGTAACAACGAGAAAGGAAAGGTTTTTGAAGCCCTGACAAACTAAGATTCCTAGGGCAGCTGTGTTAATGTTTTGAAAGCTTATTATCCACCTTAAATTCAAAACATTCCTCTGACTATATTAAGCAAAATTTTTCTTTGTCTTCCTTTTTTATTAGAAACAAAAATAAGAGCCTTGTATAAGCTGAGAAAATAATACACAAAACAAGAAGCATCAGTATGTCTTACCTTGCTGGGCTTCCTTATCATACACTTTCATGTGAACCACTCCGGAAGTCTTATTTCGCAGAATCGTAGGGTTTCGCCCATCTCTCTTGCTGCAGGTTCCCAGCTGAGCTAAGTTTTGGTCTGCCCACCAGAGTTTCTTATCTGTGAAAAAGAAATGAAGGTTTAAAGGAAAATGTAATAATCTCATTAAACAACATAATAGTCAATAAAAATACTCTTGATTTCTTTCATTATATTTTCAAATGATTAAGAGAAACTAAAATTAACTTGGCTTCTAAAAGTGCAAACCATACTGAAATTTTCTTTTTCAAATGTTCTTATTCTCTTCCCAAGTAGAGATTAATCATTTAAATTTTTATTTTTCAAAAAAATAATATTCTTACATATTATCTAATATGTGTCATTTAAATATAAATAAAAGCAAGTTTCTGATTAATATGGAATATAGACTTTATTATTCACCTACTTGCCCCCTAGTAATCTGGGCTACATTTGTAAGTAAATGACAAACTCTAACAAAATATCTAGAAATATTTCAAAATGACATTGTTCCCCTACTTTCTACTTATTAAAAATATGTAAGTTTTTGTACCTTCCAATACTGTATTCTACATCCCTTTTTATTTTTATTATTTCAGTACTGAAGATTAAAGGTAGAGTCTTCACACTGAGGTACATCCTAAGCCTGTTTTGTTTTTTGTGTTTTGAAACAGGGTCTTGCTAAATTGCTAAATTTCTCAGGCCTGGCTTGATAACATATTCTCCTGCCTCAACCTCCCAGAGTTCTGAGATCACAGGAATATATCGTCATGCCTGAGTCCTCTCTATCTCTTTGATTTCTTATACAGTTCGTACCTATTTCTCCAATAATTTGTTAATTGAAAGTGTTTTGGTGAAAATATAACTATCACACAGGAAATTTTAGAAGAAAGTAAAAGTTAAGCAAATAACTATGATTCAAACACAAAATATTGAGTTATTAAAGAATGATAATTTAATTTCCATTGATGACTAGAATCTATTTTCTGTGACTCGAATCAGCAGTCAAAATTCTGGAACAGGAAAGAAGCAAATACAATCCTAAATAATCCTAACCTAGCCTATCACTTGAATAAATGCTATTTGTTTTCAGTTTTTAAAACCAGCTTTTAGAGAAAGCATAGAAGAATTTCTATGACAGTTGTGTAGGATGAAAATATTAAGAATTTTGCTGTGTAAAATGAAAGAGCAGTTAATGAAATTTCTTACATGCACTCAAGAAGATGAGATTAAAAAGACAATATTCTCATAATAAAAATGAAGACTCAAATGACAATTTGAAACCAAAAATAAAAGCAAATAGACACTGATTATAATACATAGTTACACCATAGCTGACAGAATAACCAAAATATTTTAAGTAAAAGAATAAAATGGAAGGTAGAAAAAATTAGAAATAACACAAATGATTACAGTTTCACAATTCAGATCAGGAAACTAATACATTAATACCTACAATTAACAAATAAATGCCACATAATTCATATAAAAATTAAGTTAGAGTTGCATTTCCATTTTTATATCCCAGAGCAAAGCACATCACCACTGGGACACGGATGAATGACTAAGGCTAAAAGTCACAACCCCAGGAATTCAGCAATTTTGTTTTGAGCCACCTCTACCTACTGGGTCCCTCAGTGAATGGACTGTCTCAGCATATTCACCCTTTAGATTCAAAAGGTCTTGAACAAGAACACATTTCTATGAGAAGTGAAAAATTTCTATGTTTCTTGTCTATTTCTTTATGATATGCTATAACCTCTAGGGACCTTGACCTCAAAAACCTCATCATCAAATGTGATGCCTTGACATTGGACCTATACCAAGCATCATGAGACAAAAGAAAAAAACTTTTTTTATGAAAATTTACAGTCTGTGCTATTGTGTTATTAGCAACAAACAGACCGACTAATACAAGAAGTTACTATTACAAAGTCCTATCCTAGCTGGTGGGAAAGGACACAAGGCAAGACAAATAAGATCACTGCCTTTACAGATACTACATTTTAGTCAGAAAGAGATCTAAGACAACTAAATAGAAAAAGAAATGAGTGACAGTTATTAGTGTCTGAAAAATATAAACACAATTCCCTTATTTTCTCTATATCTTTATCTGAATGTAAACCATATTCACCCTTCAATACACAAATACTATTCTACTACTAATGAAGTAGTTCACACTAATTCACATCCATCTTCCTGTTTGCTGGCTCTAAGATCTTTGCAGAGCGAATTCCACAATTTAATATTTAATTGTTGCTTTTTCTCTTTGTTTCACTTGTACATGTTTTGACTCCTTAGTCAGAGATGAAAGCTCCTGAGAACAAGGATCTAGCCTTGTTCTTCCTTGTCTTCTTCGTAGTGCTTTGCATTCTTTTGAACTGAACATGATATAGAGGTTCCCTAAATTCCCGTGAAATGACTGGGGAGATAAATATCCCCCAAAGTATTTCCCATTACAATTCACAACTTAGACAACATTTAAATAAGATCAGCTCCGCCATTCCCTGTGGATAGTATCTCTTTGAAATATTTCTTTTAAAATATTAAGCTTTTTTAAAGATCCCTTTAACATAAAGTACTTTGTTTTGTAGTTACTAGTTTGCTTCAACTTTACTTGTCTCTCACTGTTCATAACATGAATATGCTAAGGTGATACTGGAACTCAGACACTGCTTATGTCATACGCAAGTGATTACAAAAAACCCCGATGTGTTGTTATAGGTTTATGTATAATCAGCCTCCAAATCCATATATTATACTGAAATTCTAACCCCTAGCACCTCAGATTGGTCTGTCTTTGGAGACAGAAGGCTTACAAAGATAATTAAATGAAAATATAGTCCTCGTGGTCAGCCCTAATCCAATTGACTGACATCATGAGAAGAACAGTTGGGACATAGTTATGCACACAGGAAGGGCAAGGTCAAAGCAGCAGAAGCTGGCCACATGATGATGAGGAGAGCAACCTTACAAGAAATCAAGCCTTTTTTTCCTTGACCACAGAACTGTCACCTCTAGAAAAGCGAAAAAAATATCTATTTCTGTATGTCATGCTGTCTGTGGGACTTTGATAAGGCCTTCTAGCTAAATAACACATTCACTAATAGACATTTTGAATATATTTATAAAATATAAAAAAGAATTAAGGTAAATATATTATTTCTACCATGGCATCTCCAAATTCTTCACTAAGAAAGAGGGAAGGATGGCTGGTGAGAAATAAGGAAGAACAAAAGGAAGAGGAAAGGAAAGCATTCAATAAGCACCTATTAATTTCCACAACTTTTGAACATAAATAAGATCCTGAACATAAGATTCTGAACATAAATAATATTGCCTTATTTTAACATTATAAATGAATATGATTCGTTAATACACCTTCTCTTAAGCATAAGCAAACAGAAAGTCAGTTAATCTTCAAAAGGTACCATGGAAGAAATGTATCATTAAGTTATTAAGTTCCAGTTATTATTATTTGACTTCCAGTGTTCTTCCCACCACATCACATTGAGTATCTAATAGCTCTCTATCAGACTTAATGACTGCAATGCAAACATGCTTTGAGTTTCACATAAATAAATATTTATTAAAGTTTACAAATGATTTTATTTGAAATTGAAGTTCACTTGCATGTCCTCTACTTTGTCTGGCTATTTTATTATCTCTACAAACTTCAACAACATCAACATTGACAAGAACGTAGTGAAACAAGGCATAGCCCTACAACAATAAGAAATAGAACAGAAGGCCATAATAATAAAACGTAGTAGTTATGGGTTGGGAGTGCATTAAAACTGATGATTGAAAGAAAATCTAGACATGCAGTACGATGGTGCTAGATATTAGTTAATAAACATGGCACAAACTTCAAAATTGATCAGAACTGTGGACTTCTAATCATCCAAAAATAGGAACATGGATGTAGTTGAAAGAGAAATTCTGTTATTAAGAAAACAGAGTCCAATATATACAACCAAGGGAATGCTCTTCCTTCATTCTGGGCCAAAACTAGACATTTCCTCAAAATAACTAAGGAAGCCATTGAGGGGGAGGATTAGGTAGTAATCTCTAGTAGAGGTTTGCAAATTTGAGCATGGATAATGCTCACCATGATTAATTGTAAAAGCATAAACTGTCAGGTCACACTCTAGAGTTCATGATTTCATAGGTCTAATATAGGGTCTCAAAATCATACAGTTATGACACATTCCCAGGTATTGCTGATGTGTCGGTCATGCTCATTTACTCCGTCTTCACTTCAGACAAACATGAGAATCATCTAGAACACCTTCAAAGTTATCGCTGAATACTGCTTCCAAAGATTGTCTCTGAATTGTTTTATTCTATGGCATCAAATTATTTTCATGCACAAGTGAGTTCAAAATCCAGAAACCTCACTGCTAAATCCCAAGACTTCAATCTTTAATCCCTTTTTTAAAAAGGAAGCTGGTATCCATGATTATGTTTATCATATCATGTATGTGTTTCCTATTTGTGTAAAACTGTACAGTCCAATGAACTGAACAAAGAGATAAGTAAAAGACTCTTTCTCACTACCAAAGAAATTTATTCAATAAAAGAATTTTAAAGGATGCTTATTATTACATAATCCTTGCTTCCTGAAATCATAGTTCTAATAATTAACAAAGGAACACCAGATAATTGAAAAATGGCTACAATATTAGTGAGCTTTTTAGCTACCATAATGGAATACCTGAAACAGGCTAACATTATGGAAAGTTTTGTTTAACTCCCAGATCCAGTGATTCAAAATCATCCTATAGGCAGGCTCTGTGGAAAGGGCAACTCCTTGTATTGTGACAAACACCATTGGCAGGAGCATATATGGGAATAAGAAGAACAGCTCAAGCCAAGAAACCAAAGGCAGAGCGAAGACTGATGTATTTTATCGCAAGACTCTCAGGAAGACTCAAGAGTCATGTAAAACACACTTTTTGAGGGAAGCACTCCCAGTGACTCAAGAATCTCCTACAAGGCCCCACACCCTGAGGGTTTCGATGAACTTTCCAATTATACCTCCCTCAAGACAAAATGTTCAATCACATGGAGTTTTAGAAGGACAATCAAACTATATCCAG